TCCGAAAGCCTGCAGCATATCGTAGGCTAGCCCCAAACAGGTTCAGGAGCATTCTTGCATAGAAGCCTACATATCTGACGAGTAGATTCCTCAAAGTTATGGGCCCCTCTAGTATAAGCATGGTCCCAAGGTTTGGCTGGGTGTATATCACAGGGGCCCAACATGCACAGCTACCCAAGAAGAAAGTCTTACCCAGGAAATTACCCCTAAACTCCCAATCCGCAAACCCCTACCCTTCAAACAATGAGGATGGCCCCTGAAGCTGCAGCGTCCATGCTGGGTCTGCTCCTGGTGTCTTGGCAAGGCGGTCAGGGTGCAGACTCACTGTATCGGCTTGAGGGTTTAGGGTGCGTGCATTGGGGTCTTGTAAGATTTCAAATCATATGGGTGTGGGTAATGAGGGCCCCGTGTTGTAGTACCCGCGGCCGGCGACAAGGCTAGGCAGCTTGTACACGGCTGTAGACGTAGACTCGGGACGACAATTTCTGGCAGACGAAGCCATTTGTTCCACCAGCGGGTGAAGGTCAATTCCTTCCAGAAACACATGGATTCGCCACCTTTAATTTCTTGTAGGCAAGCATGCATCTGTCTCCCGGAGTCATCAGCTCGGATGAAGAGGTTGAAGCTCGGAGATCAGCATCTCGCACACTAGAGGGTCTTCGACGCGCTGTGTTTGCTGCCAAAGTCGTTAAAGGGCAGTCAACTACTCTCAAGCAGATCTCGGTCTCGAAACGGCGCATTTGGCATCGAACTAATTTTCGCGTTGCTGTCAAAGTCTTTTTGCAGATGCCTGCTTACAATCACGCTTAGCTGGCATTTTGCGTCAAGGCTTTGGAAACGTCCTTGGCATTGGAGCTTGCTATTCTGGATTGATGATCGATCTCACAAGGTCAGGTGTCCCTGACTGCTTTTAGATATGCCGCAGCCACATGAGCCTGGTACTTCGGGCGCCGTGTTAACTGAAGCTGACCATAGCACAAGGACACGCATTCGACATAATTAGGTCCGGGTAAGTTTGGCTTTTCACTGGTTTAAAGCCTAAATACAAACAACAGCTTCTATCATCCTAGATTCCTTCTTGCTAAGGCCAAGCCCATTCAAGAGAATCCTGGGCATCACTCGCTGAGCTCTCGTGCAATCCTGGGGGGCCGTACCATGCAACTCAGCAGCCTCTTGGGGGTATAAACGCAAAGCTTTAGGGTTTGGGGCTGTTGCCATGCATTGCGGGTGAGTCAGGAAAATCCTTGGAGGGATTCACAGAGAGCGGCTTTCCATCATGATTGCGCAGCCCGGATTAGAAATGGGTTTATGGACCCTTCAACTTTCGCTTCGCAGACTCGTGACCTCTGACCTAGTAGTATTATTCATAGTACTATAACTCCTATTATTATTCAAACTTACTCCTGATATGAATAGCATTGGCATCACAGTGCAATCCTATGAGAACAATTGTTTCTATTATTCCCCACCCTTGCAGTGGGGTTGTTAGATTTTAAAGTATATGTTGTCCTCGCCCGACTGGAAGCTGATTTTAGTGACCAACCACCAAGTATCCCTGCAGTGCCCAACCACCACGTATCCCTGCAGTGCCCAACCACCAAGTATCCCTGCAGTGCACAACCGCAGAGCCCAACCACCACGTATCCCTGCAGTGCCCAACCACCAAGTATCCCTGCAGTGCCCAACCACCACGTATCCCTGCAGTGCCCAACCACCACGTATCCCTGCAGTGCCCAACCGCAGAGTATCCCTG